ATAAAGTTTTATCTACCCAAAAAATGTTTAAATCTTCTTTATAACGCCATCTGTCTGCCCCATGTATCATACTGCAACGTCATTTGGGCCAGTGCTTACCCATCAACTACCATGTCTGTAAAAGTTCTGATGAAAAGAGCAATGAAGATCATCACGCTTTCTCGAAAAGATGCTCACACACCTCAACTGTTCAAATTAACTAATAATTTAGATTTTGATAAATTAAATTTATATTTTACAGCCAATTTTGTATATAAACAACTTTCAAACAAACTTCCTTCTATTTTCAATAATTATTTTATTCGGATAAATAATTCCAGACGTCAATATAATATATTAGCAAATAAATCAAAAACATTCATACTTTTTTCTCATATCATTTGTAAAAGGCCAAGAATTTGGAATGCTATTTTAAAACATGGTTTTCCATTCAATAAAATTAATGAAGCAAATTTTAAAAACAAATTGAAAATTTATTTGTTGAATAATGACATTGAATATTAACTGTTGCTGATCGCTAAACAAGCGGATGTATTTGTACAATTCTTATTTACTTATTTTATTATCTATCGCTTTAAATTTTTAATTATTATATTGATTTCTTGATTGAGGAATTGGTTGATTGCTTTATTGATTGATCTCATTGGAAAAGTCGCGTCTAATTTACTCACTTGAAAAAATCCACAGACATCAGTATATAGTTTTTATATATTTATTTACTGTGAGATCTACTATTCATGTCGTTCTATATGTTGCTTAAATATATAGATAACTATGTAATGTCTATCCCGTGTTTTTCTGGATAGATACCAAACATTGTTATATATAAACCGTGAACCATCGTACTAACAACTAACACCTGTTTTGCTAACATAGTTGAGTTCGTTAATTTACTAACAACTAACATCTAACATGCCTCTCATAGATCATTTGGGGAAAATTTTTATTATCTGCTGAAAAACTTTTGTACGAACATAGAACATTTCTGTTTAGGTGGCCATACTAAATGAATTTTTTATAAATTCTATTATGGTCATCCTGCTTTCTTTTAATTTTTAATTTTGAGAAGCAAATAAAATTTCGTTTTGTTTTGTTTCGTGTGTATGTATGTATGTATGTATGTATGTATGTATGTATGTATGTATGTATGTATGTATGTATGTATGTATGTATGTTATGTATGTATGTATGTACAAATTAAAAAGAATCGGTCCAAGAACAGATCCTTGAGGCACCCCTGACGTAAGTTTCATTGGTTCCGAGAGAAATCTGCTGAGTCCGACCGGCAATCTTATTTAAACCATAACAATATTTCAGTCTGTCTAGCAGGATTTTATGATTCACAGTATCGAACGTCGAACTCATGTCCAGGAATGTCAACAAAGTTACTTTTTGTACATTAACTGCTGAATAAACATGAGAGAATAAATCCGATAGAGCTGTTTCGGTCGAATGAAACCTTCTGTATCTAGATTGATGCGAAGACCAAATACCATTTTTATTTATATGATTATTTAAAACTAACTTAACGGAACGAAAGACAAATTTGACACCGGCCTATAGTTTATCAGATCTGATTTATCTAATCCTGTCTTCTTTAGAATTGGCGTGACAATGTACGTATGTATGTACGTATGTATGTATGTATGTATGTATGTATGTATGTATGTATGTATGTATGTATGTATGTATGTATGTATGTATGTATGTATGTATGTATGTATGTATGTATGTATGTATGTACGTACGTACGTACGTACGTATGTATGTATGTATGTATGCAAGTATGTATGAACCCATAATTGATTAGAACTATAGGGAAGTAATAATCATATCCGGGTTCAGCTTTAATCTATGTTAAACGCTTCGCACAGACAGGTATTTTAACGCTCCATCCAAAATACAGAAAGAATTATATTTTTGAAGTAAAATAGAAAAGGATTGCTTTACATAACTCTTATCTAATGGGTCACCCGATACTTCTACAATCCTGCTACAGAGTTCATTCAGAAAACTCTGAGTCTAGCATCGGTTGGACAAAAGGTCTCAATGCAGACTGGCTGAAAAATTTTGCTTTCTGCAAGAGCCGCATATTTTGAATTTTTAAAGTCTGCGGCTCTTAAGGCAGCGGCACCCGCCTCCTGTGAGGTACAATTAATGTACCTTTCAGCCATGGTGTGAGGGAACGTAACATCCCAAGCAAGGGAACGTCCCTGCGCCCATGGTGAAATAGTATATCCATCGGGCCTGAGGCTACCTTTCTCCATAAGATTCGTGGGTTCTTTAATTGTGGGTATGTTTGCCCTCTGAAAGCACCTGACCAAAAAGTCGTTCATGGCCGAGTGTCGAGCCTGTCTACCAGGGCCCAATCGACACGAAAGACCATGGTAGCCCAGGGGTTCAACATTGGCTCCACATAAACAAACATACTCGGTTAAAATGGGTAAACTGAGTCTCAGTCCCAAAATGACACGAACACAAGAGTCGTCCAGCCTGGTACCACAGGCGGAATTTGGGACCGCCTTCAACCAAGATGATCCCAACTCACTTTTTACAGCCATTATCCTGGTTTTATCAAAATTTGATTGGTTCAAATCCAGCAGCTTAGCAACTGAGCTGCTGATAAATGGAGCGTTCCACTCTTTTTGAGAACATAATAAACTTAAATTTTTCCAATTTTTCACTCCAGAAAATATTACGTTTATTGCAAGAAAATAGGAAAGAGCCTAGAAAGTCGATGTCATTTTTAGGAAACAGTTTAATTTTGAAAAAATTTTCTATTAAGTTTGGATGATTTGTGAAAAATTCACATTTTTTAAAGTTTAATTTCAAACCCAAATCAGTCTCATGACCCACAATTGAATTCAAATCCCTCAGCACATTTTCAATCTTTCCACCAAATGAAATGTCATCCAAGTAGGCGACAATGAATTTGGATTCTAAAGACTTCAACAGAGGGTTGATTGCAAGAGAGAAGAGCAATGGACCCAGTGGATCACCTTGCTGAACTCCTTCCTCTGACAAAATCTTTGTGCCACTAAAAGACAGAATAGATGGCTTATCATAAGCCGACAAACAAAAGTTGTACAACTCTGGCACAACCGACTTCACAGTGAGCAGCAAGTGATCCCGCTTTAGGGAGTTAAACGCATTGGAAAAATCCAGTTTCAAAAAACATTCATCATTATCCATGTTATCAACAAAACGTCTAGCGGCGTGAATCGCTCCTTCTGCGCCACCGCTAACACCAACGCCCACCTGCTAAGGTTGAAGCAGGAGGACAACTCTGTCTTTAATGATGTGCATGGCACATTTCGCAGCCAAACGCCTCCAAACACAACCAACTACAATTGGCCTGATACCCCCATCTTTTTTTAACAGAGCAACCAGTCTTCCACCAAACAAAATAGGAGCCACCTCTGGCGGACAGTTCTCGCTTAGAATCAGATTGACAAATGAGGCAATCAAATTCACTAGATCAGAAGAGTCTGCTTTTGAAGACGTAACATCTCTTAGATGTACAGGCGTGAGACCATCTCTGCCGCCAGAAGTTCCCTTAGGAAAAGACTTTAAACAGTGCAGCACCTGTTGTGAATTAACCGTTAAGCTTGAAGCCTCTTTGGGTAGACATTCCTTTCTGTTTGAGGGAGCGTTTGGATGTTTCTCCCTTAGGGAACCTATGGTTTCTTCCGTAACCGGTACAACTGAATCTGTTGAAGACAATAGCTGTAGCGCGTTTCGAATGTTTCCTTTTTCAATCTTGGATCTAACGGATAAAATCATTTTAGCTTCGGCTGAAACTTTTTTGCTATACTTAACAACAGGCTCCAAGGATTCCACCATTCTCTCCACCGAACAACCGCCGAATGCATCCAATCTCTGGGTAATAACACCTGTTGGGTTGTGACGTTTACCCCCTCGAGGACTCCTCCTCAGAACCATTGAGGGCAGAAACAACAGCTTATACCAACTTGGAGGCGAAAGAGGTTTTTCGATAATTTCTTTCAAAACCTTGGCCAACACCTGACTAAATTTGGGTCTGCACTGCTTGGGAAGATGATCATGCAAACAAAAATTGGCAGATCTAGAAAAAAATTCATCCGCCATGTCGCATTTTGGGGCAAGCACAACATGATTTTTTTTTATAGAAAGATTACCAGCATTTCCCAAAAACATACGTTTTAGCACCACCGGAGGCCTGGCGAGAGAGCCGGGACACTCAGAACCCTTAACTTTTCCCCCATGACGCATAAGTGCCCCATCTGGGCGGGTACGAAAATGCATATTGCAAACATGGTAACGGGTAAGACCTGAGCCCGTTGCCTGACTAAGAGACATAATGCAGGATGGAGCGCCTGAACGGAATGGTTCAACCAAGGTTAACAAGTCAAGCCAATTCAAATATTGGCGTAGTTTAAACCAAGTTAAAATCAAACAACCTAGAGGGAACGAAAACAAAAAATGGTTTGTTTTCGTTCAAAACAAGCAAAATGGAATTGTGGTGTAATGTGGTATAATGTGATACCACTTGGTGATGGCAACAAACAAAGTTGGAATGTGGTACAACAACGGATACCACTTGATGGAAAGAGCGAACCAGATGGGATTGTGGTATAAAAGACAAATACCACTTGATAACAAAAAAGATAATGTGGTACAGCGGACCAATACCACCTGATGAAGGCAACAAACCAAATGGAAATGTGGTATAAAAAGCGTGGTACAAAAATTTTTTTTATTTTTTTTTTTTTTCTTCCCTTTTCTTTTCCCTTTTTTTTATTTTTATTATATTATTTATTTATATGTATTATTATTTTATTTATATATTAATTATTTTGGATACCCCTTGGTTGGGACAAAAAACAAAGTGGGAATGTGGTGTAAAAATACCACTTGATGGAAAGAGCGAACCCGGTGGGGTTGTGGTATAAAAGACAAATACCGCTTGATAACAAAATGGGAATATGGTATAGAGGATTGATACCACTAAATGAAAGCGACAAGCAAAACGGAAATGTGGTATAAAAAAAACGGATTTTATTATTTTTTTTCCTTCCCTTCTTTTTTTTTATTTTATTTTTATTATATTTATATGTATGTATGTATATATTTTATTTTTTTTTTATTTGGGGGTTAGCTTTGGTGAACTGAGCGCTGTGAACAAGCTATGGAGAGAAACAAGGACCATTATGGAAATAAGTAGTTAAAAATACAATGGATACTAAGGAAATATTAACCGAAAAAATTCTCAACAATGAAGCGCACCAACGTGAAAATGAAATCTGAGTTTAATAAACAACAGGTAGAAAAGCGACACGACACCATTCAAAACAAGACCCGCAAAAGTGCACAAACAATGAATGTACTGTGAACGTAAAGCATTGAAGAAAATTTAAGAAAATTTAAGAAAATGACGCCAGAATAATATAGATTTTTTTTTATTTATTATTTTTGTTTATTTTTTATTATTATATAAAGAAAAATTGAAGATGAATTACGATAGAGTTAACGTTTTTTTTACAAGATATTTTTGTTAATTTTTAGAATTTAAAGTTTAGAAATTACAAACATGGAGAAAAATGATATTAGGAGATAAGGAAAAGCGTAGAAAATAGCTGAAAATTGCAAAGACTCTGTTATCTATTATTCTATTATATTAAAATTAATTTTGAACAAAAAAAAGAAAAAAATTAGGAAATTAAGAGAATTTTAATAATTTTAAAAATGAAAGATGGAAACCAACCGGCCTGTGCGAAAGTTGAACGTTGAAAGTATGTATGTATGTATGTATGTATGTATGTATGTATGTATGTATGTATGTATGTATGTATGTATGTATGTATGTATGTATGTATGTATGTATGTATGTATGTATGTATGTATGCATGCATGCATGCATGCATGTATGCATGTATGCATGTATGTATGAATGTATGTATGTATGTATGTATGTATGTATGTATGTATGTATGTATGTATGTATGTATGTATGTATGTATGTATGTATATATTTATGTATGAATGTATGCATACGTAGTATGTATGTGACTGTGTACGTACATGTGTACGTATATAAGTAGGCGTGTCTTTCATTACAATTTCCACACTTTTTTTATTTAGGACGCAAATTTCTGACATGATTTGGCATCCAGAACCAAACATGCAGACGCAAACTTCCAAACGATTCAACCATTATACCAGCGCCGAACTCACCGACCAGCACTCAGGCGCAAATGCTTGGACATTAAACAAAATTGGAGAATCCTTCAAAAAGATATTATCGTTCTGACAATTGAAACATTTTATTGCTTGTTTTGTTTCTAATCCAAAAAATAGTGTTTACTTTTAAGATATAGATAAATCAATTTTATTGGGTTTCGATTTCGTTTTCACACACACATACACTGATGCATATATAAATAAATAAACAGCTTTTATGAAATTCACAGACATTGTTACTTTTAACATATTATTATAAATTTAATTAATTTAATCGTAAGCAAATAGATCTATTTCGATAAAGTTTACCATCATCAGTGCAATTATGTTTATAAGTTAAAAAAATTAATAAAAAAATTAGCGATTAATATATTTTTTCAAATGTGTGTGTGTGTGTGTGTGTGTGTATGTGTACATGTGTGTACACGAATGGTGTGTCTCAAATAAAAATGCCATCAATAGCAACATAAATAAGTTTCATTAAAACATCATGCAACATGATACGATTGATGCGCGTTCGTTCATTCACTCATTTATTTCCTTATTTGTTCATTCTTCACTCATTCATTAAATCATTCACTCCCTCACACATTCACTACTCACTAGCACCAGCAGATAAACATCGAACAATTTCAAATCAAGACATCAATAAATGAAATAATCCAAAATGTACGTTCATGAAAATGTATGACTGACACGCAGGTCCCAGCATAACATCGTCATCATCATCATCATTAGCAGCAGCAGCAGCAGAGGGGGTGGGGGGTGGCTCGCTGGTGCTGGAGGATTGTGAGACGGAGAAAGGGAGCAGTGAGGGAGAGCCAGTGTACCTGGAGTGTGTGCCGGAAGAAGAAGATGATCACGTGGTTATCAGGTGGTACAAGAACCAACAGCCCATCAACCAACAGTGGCTTCTACAGAACACAAGGCACGTTTCCAACTCGTTTCATTATAACTCAACGCATTATTTATACGTGTTTTTACGTCATGTAAGTGTCAAATAAAGTTGATGAGGATAGGTTTTTAAAATAAAAGATTTTTGTTTGCTGATCAACATTAAATCGTCTGATTGAAATAAAATTTCTAGGACTTAAATTCAAAGTGAAATATTATTTAATTTAAATATTATTTAATAACTGTCACATGCTCAGATACAAGCTGCAAAACTTCGAGTTGCTAATCGAGAAGAGCACGTTGCAGGACGCCGGCATCTTCACGTGCATCCTCTCCAACAACTCCACCTCCGTCTCAAGAAACTTTTCCGTCTCCATCCAAAGTTAGATTTCAGTGTTCAGTTTTTTCGTAGAGGACGTTTTTATTTCAATTATTCACCGAACACCCGGTTGAAAAAACTTTCAAACTTTCTTTAAAAGTAATCCAAGAATAATAAAATGTTTCGCATTGTTGGCGGGCGGGGTTGTCAGGTTTCTTCTTCTGCATTGCTAATTCATGGTCGTTAGCGTTGTTTGCAAGGTATCTTCTATTATATCTTCTATTATATATGATATACATACATACATACATACATACATTATACATACATACATACATACATACATACATACATACATACATACATACATACATACATACATACATACATACATACATACATACATACATACATACATACATGCATGCATACATACATACATGCATGCATGCATACATACATACATACATACATACACACATACATATATAAGTACATACATACATTCATACATACACACCTATATACGTGTTTATATTTATACATACAAGCGCAAATCATTTATTACTAAATACAAACTGCATTTATCTTAATTCGCCTCAACCACCTCAACCATCATATCTTACTACCATTCAAATATTCATACCACTCAATTCAAATAGAAAGTAGAAACTAACAGCAACCACGCAATCCGTCCCAAACCCACCGATCAAAAATACTACACACACAAAGGATTAAAGAATTATATCCTACATAGCGCGTCTCGATTAACGCTGCAGAGATGTCGTTTTTGAGAAGAATTAGGAAAATTAGTTGGACCTCTCATACTTCAAATGAGGATGTATAAAAACAGCCCGGTTATTTAAAAGAGGAAATTACTACAGATAATCCGACGGGGGCAGTTAAAGTTTTTTGATCACATCATGCGGAAGGAAAGAATGGAAAATCTAACAACTACTGGAAAGATTGCAGGGAAAAGAGGTCGCGGTCAACAACGAATAACATTCGTGAAGTCCTTGTGTCACTTGTTGAATATCACCACATTTCAACTACTACAAAGTGTTAAAGATCGGGTTTTGTGGAGGTCGATGGTCGCCAATGTCCTGGAAGGATAAAGCACGAGAAAGAAGAAGATAACGCGTCACCATATTGACCAAAGACCTGAATAAGATCCCTGCACGTTTTCAACAATCACTTTTATGGAAAAACGGAAAAACTGTGGAAAGATTAAAAAACCGCAATGACCGAGATCAAATTATGTGGTTTTTCAATATTCTATTTGCATAAATGATAACGCTTCGTGTGTAACAGCAAATCACAGCGCGTCCGATTCACGTAACAATATAGGATGGATGCATTGAAAACAACAATTTAGCAAGATGTGTGTTCGTGTGTGTGTGTGTGTTTGGCGTGTGTATGTGTGTGTGTGTGTGTGTGTTTGGCGTGCGTGTGTGTGTGTGGTGTGTGTGTGTGGTGTGTGTGTGTGTGTGTGTGTGTGTGTGTGTGTGTCATATCGGCACAACAACCACAACAACGTATCTCCTAATGAGATCTATAAAATATTGTGTGACATTATTTAATTTAATTGGACGAGGATCTGTCAATAAATAAATAAATAGCTGGCTGGAGGAATGTAAATATTGTATATATTATACAATTTTTATATGCATTTCATTCCGTCGGGCTGTTTTCATGTATGTATGTACCTACAGTACGTATATAATAAAATGAGAATACTTAATATTTACTTCATTGCATACAAACAAGCAACATGCATACATACGTACGTACGTACATACATGCGTGCATGCATGCATGCATGCATACATACATTCATTCATACATACATACATACATACATTCATACATACATACATACATACATACATACATACATACATACATACATACATACATACATACATACATACATCCATACATACATACGTAGGTATGTACGTTCGTACGCACGTACTATCAATACAAAGCACTTAGAAAGTTAGGAAGCAGCTGAATCCTTTAGTTGGGTATCTATCGGAGGAAGCACTTACAGCCTTCAAATTCCTTCTTATCTTGACATGAAAACACTCGATAACATTTTTTTCGGCTTCCTCATCAAATTTATATCTGCGAAACAAAAGAAAGCTCAGAATTTTTCATTCTAACTTTTTCATGTTCATTTCATTTTCAAAGTAGTTCGCGATGACTTGAATGAAATAGTGCAGTAAAAATCTTTTTCTCGGTTTCATTTTGTTGCTTTCTCGCAAATTCTTTCAACTTCGACGTGATGAGAAGATGTGCTAGAATGGTTTCGTAGTTATCGACTAACAGGTCATCTTATGATTATTCGCGATGCAACTTGCCAGTCTTTAAACGTGCTCTGCCGCTGTTGCTTTCTAATATCGATTGCAAAGTTTAAGCGAAGGAATCTTTCTTGCTCCAACAACGAAAAACCATTTCGGCTTTGTACGTAGCGCAATGCCGTAAAGAGTTCCACCTCTTAATTTGAAGTTTGCAAAATGATATGTGGATGTGACAAACAACAAAGTTTTATAGAAACCAATGAATATTGTAGTACGATTTCAATATTTAAAATCTTCACTAGTAAACAATTAGTGCACATTAATTTCATCATGAATGCACTATTCTTATGCCCCCCGTTCCTTCTTATGCATCTTCAAACGCACTCTATCAATGCATCTTTCATTCAATGCATCCTTCCAATGCACCCTATCAATGCATCTATCATTCAATGCATTCTTCCAATGCAATCCACTAATCACATATTGAAGAAAACTGAGGCTCATAAATTCTCTTCCACGTAACAGGATTAATTTTTAAAACATTGGTTTTAGTCCTAAATTATACTCGCATTGTTACTCTCAGTAGGGTTACAAACGTTTCTTTGCAAGGAAAATGTGAAAAATCCTTTAAAACGTCGGTGAATGATTTCAATAGGATGGGTTTTGTTTTTATAAGCAAAGCTAATTTGAGATATAAATGAAATATTTTTTTAATGAAAACAAGTACATTTCTGTAAAATAATAAAACACACATTTCTTCCTAATTTGTAATAAATTGCGTGTTCTATTTTGCAAAAGTGGAATCCTATTTTAATAGAATATTTGAAAAGAAAGTGAAAAGTGAATCTCAAGTAAGCAGGATGATTCATCGAGTTTAAAAACATTAAAAAAATTAAAATAGGAAGAAATGCTTGTAAAATTTATTATGAAAATTAATCAAATTTTTTAAATACTATCCACAAATGTTCTTCTTTTACACAAATAAGTTTTGCATATCAAAATGTTTGAATTGTTGATTTATTTATTTTACTTTTAAATTTTTAACATAACTTTTATCTGATAAATGTACTTTATATAGGACTTTTTATTACGCCGCATGTCGGTAGAATGTTTCATTAACTTTTTTTAAATCAATTTAAATTTTTATGTCATTACTGGTATTTGTTAACATTATTTTAATAGTCATTTTTATGTCTTTGTGATGATCATCCTATAATTCGTTCACCTATTCGTTCGTTCATTCACTTATTCATTCATTCATTCTTTCATTCCTCCTTTAATCATTTTTTCTTTCTTTCATTTATTCATTTTTCATTAATCATTCATTCATTCATTTATTTGCTCATTCGTTTATTTAGCCTATTAGTAAATCACTAATTGAATTACTCAAACATTTTATCCATCAGTTTTCCAATCACGCTATCAGTTAATCATTTATTACCTCGTTTTTGTTAACTTTTTATCACTTTGTTTGTTTGTATGTTTGTTTGTTTGTGTGTTTGTTTGTTTGTTAGTTTGTTGGTTGGTTGGTTTGTTTGTTTGTCTCGCGGATTTCTTGATAGCTATAAAATATTAATAGTGCTTAATTTAATAACTATCGACACTTCCACGTTTGATTTTCGAAGCCAGTGGCATAGCTAGAAATTTGTTGAAGGAGGAATCTTTAGTTTGTTAATAAAGTTGACAAACTATTTTTTAGTTTATCACACAATTTTTAATGAATTTCGCTATTAAAACTGGCGTTTTCTACAAAATTTAACTTAATTTTCTATCCAAAATTTGTTCAATTTCGTAATGACTCTTACAAGATTCTCCACAATTCAAATGAAAGCCCCCTTGCCTACGCCTCTGCTTAGGTAGGTTTGAGACGAACCTTCGCATGACGACAAAGAACGATTCAGTCAGCTGACCTAATAACATTAAACGTAAAAACAAATAAACAATTAAATATTGTTGAATTTTAACAAATTTGTTTAACCAGCGTCTGGCGGTCTGAGGTGTTTTTTTAGTTATTAGCAGATAGTGAATGAAAAAGTAGTTGAATGTTTTAATTATTTATTTTTTTCAACTATCATATAACAAATTTTTTTATTTTTTTCACTATGCTTTTATTAACTTCAAATGCTGGTTTGTTTGTTTATTAATTAAAAACTTAAATTAATAGATAAAGTGATGAATGAAATGAATTAATAGATGTCTTGGCGAATAAATTTCAAATCTATACGGATGCAATAGTTTCTTTCGCATATTTATTATACAGCTTCCTTTTGAAAATTTTGGCGCACTGTCATCATTTCTGTCTGCAGAAAGTTCCTAGGTCTTGCTAACACCAACCAGCGCACTCATCTTATTTATTACTTCTAGGAGTTTTTTCTGTGTCGATACTTTTCACGATCTCTCGTTCATTGTTGTTATAAGACGACTGTACAACTACAATCCTTTTGCTATAGGCTGAGACTTTCTGGGGTTTAACTGTCTGCACCGGCTCATTAACAATTACAGTCCTTATAGCGAACATCAATACAATTTCTATATAACGAATTTTTCTTGGAATTTTACATATAAAACTGTTTCTATAGAGTGAAAATAAATTTTTTATAACGAACAAAATCTATAGAAGAAATATCCGACCAGCAAACATTCTATGAATTGACATCAGCGGTGTTTTTTACCCCTTTAATTTTCTAGAACCATTTTTATTGTTTCTTGTTCTAAAATTCTAGAAATTTTTGTGTATTCTTTCTCGAATAATTTTAATGGAATCG